GACAGCATAAGTATGAACGAGTACTTTAACTGGGTATTCGAGCGATACAATTGTCCTAGTGAAGGTGAGTAGGACCTTAAATTTTTTTCTTCTTCATGTTTGTCTTTTGTTTTTTCCTTTTGGTTTCGTCTTTTGTTCATCTTCTTTGTCTTTTCCTTGTCCCTTTTTATTCCCCTCCCCTTCATTTCTTTGTCTTTTTCCCTTTTCTTGTCTCCCTCCTCATCATCTTGTCTTCTTCTTTTTTTTCTTCTTAAAATCAGATTCATCTGCATCATTGTTACAAAGCCCCAAATAACCCGCTCTAAAAGAGAGAAGCTTACGACGACGTTTCGGTTTCCGACTTGGACCTTGACAAAGTCACACAGTGATTGGGTTTTTCCCCCTTGATGTGATTGTTTTCCCCCTTGAGTGTTGTTTCACCCCCTTATGCAAATGATTGTTTCACCCCCGATGTGATTTTTTCACCCCTTGATGGATTTTTTCACCCCTTTATGCAAGTGATTGTTTCACCCTTTAGTGATTTTTTCACCCCTGATGGAGTGTTGTTTGCCCCCGATGTGATTTTACCCCCTTTTGTGATTGTTTCACCCCTTGATAGAGTGATTGTTTCACCCCGTTGTTGTTTTCCCCTTGAGTGATTGTTTTGCCCCTTGATGTGATTGTTTCCCCCCTTAATTGAGTGATTGTTTTCCCCCTTGATGTGACACATGCTAAGATCTATTGCTGTCATGAGATCCAGTGCTGTTTATGCAACACATGAAATAATATTTGTTAATAAATTAACAAATTTTTTTAAATTTCTTCTTTCAACAAACGGGACCCCACCAAGGCAGGGGGGTTCAAAAAAGAAAAACAAAATGTTTCTCTTTTCAAATTTGAAATTTTATACAAGAAGGGGCTATACCCCTTTGGGGAAAAATTTTTTTTTTTTTTTTTTTTTAACAAGTGGGCCCGTCTCCCCCCGAGGCAGGGTGACCCAAAAAAAAAAAAAAATCCCCAAAAAGAAAATACTTTCACATCTTTAACACTTTAAAACCTCCCCCACACATAATCACTGTTTTGCAGAGGTGCCAGTATAAAACATTTTAGAAGTTACATAGTAAAAAAATTCACAATAACCCCTCCAAACTGCCAATATCCCAAACCCCCCCCTTGGAGTGAGGCTTTGTTGTATTCCCCTTTCCAGGACTCATGTTCGGCTTATAATAAAACCCGGCTTCCCTGAACCCTTCACTAATATTACCCGTCACACCCCAAACAGCTTGTCGGTCCCAAAAACCTTTCATCCCCATTGTCCATCTAAACGTCACGCACTCCTGGGAAGTCCAACCCCCTCGCCCAACACCTCCCTTACCCCTTTTTCCCAACCCTTTTCGGGACGACCCTCCCCCCATTTCCCTTCCCCTACAGATTTTTACGCTCTCCATGTCATTTCTTTGATCCATTCTCTTAGATGACCAAAAACCCCCTCAAAAAACCCTCTTTTGCCCCCTTGACTATTTCTTTTTGTATCCTAATTTCCACACTCTGAAATTTTCGCATAATATTTACACAACCATGCCCAGACGGGCATCTCCACTGCCTCCAACCCCCTCGTGTGATTTACAACCCAACTTTACACCCATAAAGAGTGTTGGTACTACTATATTTCATGCTTCCCCTTTTTTGCCTCCCCGATAACGTTTTTTTTTCTCCACAATTTTCCTCAATGGCTGCTCGCCTTTTTTTTTTTCATCAACTATGATTTTTCTCATCCTTTATAAATCCCTCGTCGCACGTCAACTCCCAAATATCTGAAAAAAATTTTATTCTTCCTATCCTTTTTCCCAATTTGATATCCAATTTTTTTTATCTAATCATTTGATACCCTCATCACCTTACTTTTCTATGTCCTTTAACTTTTACCTTTTCCCAACATCCCAAAATTGTCTACAAACCCTTTTGAATTTTCTTTAGAATCTCCAAAAAAGCAACGTGTCAATTTCCCCATTTGTTTTTGTTTTCCCCAAAATTTTAACCCACCCCTCTCCCGAACCCCCCTAGATTTATTTCTTTTAAAACCCCCATCTATAAATATATTAAACAACCAGGTGACATTACACATCCCTGTCAAAGACCTACTTTACGGGGAAAGTAGCCCCCTCTCTTCTACACACCCTAACCTGGTCTCACTATCCTCAAAAAAAAACTCTTTACAGCTTTTAGTAACTTCCCACGTATTCCATATTTGCAAGTCTGCAATTGCCCCCCTATCCACTCTATCATATGCCTTTTTAAATCCAAAATGCAATAAAAACTTCCCTACCTTTATTAATACTGTTTCCAATAGCTTTGTGGATTTTGGTTTTGGGAAAAAGGGTATGACAGGGTGGATGGGGGGAAAAATGTGGCAGATGTTGCAAGTGTATGGTGTGGGAGGTAGGTTACTGAAAGCAGTAAAGAGTTTTTACGAGGATATGGGGCTAAGTTAGAGTTGTGGGAAAAGGGGGAAAATTTTTTCCCAGTAAAAGTAGGCCTTAGCGGATGTGTGATGTCCCGTGGTTTTTTAAAATTTTTATAGATGGGGTTGTAAGAAAAGTAAATGCGAGGTCTTGGAAAGAGGGGGAGTTAAAAGAAAAAGAATCACACACAAAGTGGGATTTTGTCACAGTCTCTTTCCCGATGACACTGTGCTTTGGGAGATTTGAAGAAAAGTTGCAGAAAATTGGTGGTGAATTTTTTAGGGTTTTGCAAAAGAAAAAAATTTAAAAGGGTGAAAAAGGAAAGGAAAGGTTAGGGGATAACAAAAAGTTTAGGGGTGAAAGATTAAATTAGTTTGGGGGAAAGGAGTTGGAGGAGGTAAAACGTATTCAGATTTTGGGATTCGGTCAGCGGATGGGTTAGGGAAAGATGAGGTAATCATAGAATTGTGAGGGAAAAAGAGGAGTGGTGCATTGGAGTTGTGGAGACAAAAAACTTTGTCCTTGGACAAGGGGGAAGGGATAGAGTAAGTTTTACCAACGCTCTTAGGGGGGAAAAGCGTGGTGATGAATGTTGCAGCGGGGGGAAAGGCTGGAGGCAGTGGAGATGTCATGTCTGAGGGCAATGTTGGTGGAATAAATGCAGGAATTCGTATTTTTGGAATTTGGGAGGAGGTGCGGGATTCCAAAACTTTGTCCAGGGGCGGGGGGAAGGGTTTTTGGGGGTTGGTTCGGACTGTAAAGAATGGAGCAAAACAGAATGACTTCAAGAGTGTATCAGTCTTAGGGGAAGGGGGGGGTAGGGGGGCCCTAGGAAGGGTTGGAGGGGGGGGGGTAAAGGGGGTTTTGTGGGGGAGGGGTTTGGATTTCCCGCAGGCATGCGTGAGCGTTTTTGATAGGATGAATGGAGACAAAGGGTTTTTTAATATTTGAGTGCTGTTGGAGTGTGAGCAAAGAAACATTTATAAAGGGGATTCGGGAAACCGGCAGGCCGGACTTGAGCCCTGGAGAGGGAAAGTACAGTGCCTGCCTCTAAAGGAGGGGTGTTTTTAAGTTGCAGTTTAAAAACTGTGTGTAAAGCCCCCTTTTGGGCAAGACGTGAGGATAAATGAGGGTTTAAAAGTTTTTTTTTTTCGGGCCCCCCTCCCTTTGGGTGGGAATGGGCCCGGTGTGTAATAAAAAAAAAAAAAAAAATTTATGCTTCAATGTAAAACTTATCTACGCATCCCCTACCCATCTAAAACCCCTTGCTCACCACAATCCTCTTTTCTGTCTTACCTAAAATTCTTTCATAAATAACCATTTTCCCGGTATACTCGTAAACTTTTTTTCCTCTATAATTTTTCAATCTCTTTGTCCCCCCCCCCTTTTTATAAAAGGGGCTATCTGCTCGTGCCAATCCCCAGGTTTCCTTCCCCTTTTTATACATTTATTAAACAAAAGTACCAAACCCTCCAACCTATTCCCACCCCCTTTTTAACATTTTTGCATGATCCCCTCAGTTCCCCTGCTTACCCCTTTTTATTTAGTAATGCCTCCGCACCTTCCCCTCTGCATCCGTTCTTCTTCACTCCTAAAAGGGTGTACCTCCTGGCCGTGATAAATTACCCCTCCCTTTTTTTTATGCATTTAAAAAATTCCTTAAAAAATTCTCGCCCTCTTCCCCAAAACCTCACTCCCCATCTACTAATCCGCCACTCTGTTTTTAACTGACAAATCCATTCGTTTCTTGGCTTTCTTAACTTGTTTAACTCACTCCCAAAAATTTTTTTTATTTTCATTAAAATTTCTTGACAGTGCCTCTCCCACCTATCATTCTTCATTTTGCATTTTCTCCCACTCTCTTCACCTTTCTTTTTCTTTCCCTATACTCTAATCTTCTTATAACACTTTTGCTTTTTAAAAAAACCCCCATAAGTAACTTTTTCTCTTTTATCATTCCCCTTTTCATTCCACCAATCACTCCTCTTTCCCCCTGCACCCCCCCTCTTATAACCCCAAACTTCTGCCCCACATTCTAAATGCATTTTTAAACTATTCCAACCCTCTTCAACCCCCCCTATCATATTGCACCCGCCCAAAGTACTGAAAAAGTTGCATGTCTCACCCCCTTCCCCTCTAGTTTTTTACACTTTTACCTCCTCTTATTGTTGTTGCCCTTTTTTCCCCTTTTCCCATTATCTCTTTTTTAACTGTAGCTCAAATAAATAATGATCCAATATACAGTTCCCCCTTTTAAGTGTACTCCTGGAGCCTACCCCTCAACCTTTTTTCACCAAAACATAAAATAACAAAATACTTTCATTACGTGCTATTCACACTTGTATATTTTTTTATCCTCTTTTTCATAAAAAAAAAGTATTTTTATTACCAAACCTCTTTTTACACATAGCTAAAAATTTAAAAATCCCCCTTTTCATTTACCCTGGCACCCGAAATTTACCCACTACTGTTTCCAACGGGTTTTTATTTACAGATGGAGTGCTCGACTTTAGCTGCAGTGAAACTGAGGATTCCGTACTGTGAGTAGTTGTAGTCGAAATGGGGGTGGAGGGTTGTTTTGAGTTCCTCGTCCACCCACAAGTGTCTCAGGAAACCACAAAGTAAGTCTCTCAGAATTTTGAATTTGAGAAGGAATGAGAAACTAAGTTGGTGGCCATTAGCTTACATTTCAACATTAAAACTAAAAATGCTTTTTCGATTCTGGAAGAAAAAATATAATACTATGTACAGTGGACCCTCGTTTTTTGTAATTAATCCGTTCCAGAGAGTGTGACTATTATAAGAAATTGACAATTTGCGAATCCATTTTCCCCATAAGAAATAATGTAAATCCAATTAATTCGTTCCAGACACCCAGAAGTATCAACAAATTTTTTTTTTACCTTAAAGATAGATTTACATGCGCAAAAGAATGACCATTCAACATGACAGTTACCTTTATTGAAGATTGCTGTTGATGAATGGAAAACAGGGAGGAGGAGAGAGGGAAGAGGGGTTATTATTTGGAAGGGGAATCCCCCTCCATAAGGACTCGAGGTCACTTCAGGGGCCACTTCCCTAGCTTAAATATAGCTTTACATGCAGAAAAGAATGCCAAATAAATGTAGAGCACTAATAAAATGTATAAATGAACATTTAACATCACACTTACCTTTATTGAAGATTCTTGTTGGTGTATGGCAGACGGGGCAGAGGGAGGGAAGGCGAATTTATTGTTGGAGAATATGAAGCTAATATCAACTCTGTGGCTTATTTATCTATCACAATTCAACTAATATAGCATAATAAAACAATATTAATAACATAGAACCATGGAATATACTCTAGAATGAATAAAATAAGTCATTATGTATGTCACGAAAGGTGTTGTGTTGTGTTGTGTTGTTGTTGGGTGTATAAGGGCCACTGTGAGCATAAATCGTCCATAATGGTGGTGAAGGCTGCAGCTGAGGTGGCGATGTTTTCTGTAGCTCTATACAACTCCAACAACATTGGAGGAATTAGTAGAATCGCTGAATCCCTGAAGAAGGCACCCTCTACCACTATCACAACCACTACCATCCTCTACCACTATCACAACTGCTACCACTCTACCACCACCACTTTCGTATTTTTCTACAAACCTTTTCTTAAATTATATGTGTTTCTCACATTCTTTACCAAAGGGCTGGCACTAGAAGCTTTCTTTGGAGCCATGGTGACTTATTTAGCAGTTGCAAGCACTAAAATGAATGGAATATTATGAAATGTATTGTACGAACTCGTGGGATCGTCCTCACTCACTGATTAACAATGGCACACTGGCTGGGAATGGAGTGTGAGGCGGCTCGGGGCCATGTGTACATGTCCCAGACGAACGACTATTTGCGAGTCAAATGACGATTCACGAGTCAGTGTTTTGATGAAAAAAAGTTACCCTTTCCGAAAATTATGACTTTTGAGCCTTACAAAAAACAAGGGTCCACTGTATAAGAAATAAAGTACAGTATACTGGATAGAACAGTATAATTAGAATTTGAGGTGTATCATTAGGTATGAAAATTAAGACATATCCAGTAATTTATTAATGAACATAAGAGTGGGGGCCTCTGGCAAGACATTCATAGTGTGAATGATGGTGAAAGTGTTTCTTTTTTGGGTCACCCTCCCTTGGTGGGAGATGGCCAATGTGTTAAAAAAGTAAATAACAAAAAGGCACAATACCGTGACTGGAACGATACACAAATAACCCGCACATAAAAGAGAGAAGCTTACGACGACGTTTCGGTCCGACTTGGACCATTGACAAAGTCACACCAGTGTGACCATTGACAAAGTCACACCAGTGTGACTTTGTCAATGGTCCAAGTCGGACCAAAACGTCGTCGTAAGCTTCTCTCTTTTATGTGCGGTTATTTGTGTCAAAAAAGTGTAAATGAGTTATAGGGTATATGACTAAAACAGCTCCCGTGTGAGAGAAAATATTATGCATAACTTTTTATGGCGTAAGTGAATGGTATACAGTACTGACAAGATAAAGAACTAGACACACGTGCAGCATCTGGGCCAGTATCTTTATTTGTAGACGTTTCACCAACAAGTGGCTTTATTAATACAATACAGGGATATGATGTGAAGAAATATATACAGAAAATGAGGTAATCAGGTTATCATTCTTAGAGTTGGTGAAGAACACTGTAGTCTTGAAGAATTTGAGGCACAGGCTGGAAGATTGGTGCTTATATACAGGTGCCAGATAAAGGAGGTGCAGCAGATGTAGGCATTGTCACTGGTGTGATGCATTACTCAACCTCATGAGAGAGAGAGAGAGAGAGAGTGAGAGTGAGAGAGAGAGTGAGTGAGTGTGTGTGTGTGTGTGTCTCTGCACTACTTCCTTCTGTAGTTTAGTTTAGTAGAATTCAGTCTAATAAAGAAATTACTCTCCATGAGGAAGTGGAGAAGAATCCTTCCTTGTAAGCCATGCATGCTGTAAGAGGCAGCTTAAATGTTGGGACCAAGGGGCTAGTAACCCCTTCTTCTGTATAAACTATAAAATGTAAAAATAAGAAAAACTTCGGTTTCTTCTTTTTTCGGGTCACCTGCCTTGGTGGTAGACAGCCGATGTATTAAAAAAAATTAGTCTTGACCCTCCTGCCCCAGTTCTGTCTTTCCCCTATATTTCCCTTTGAAGTGGGTTTCATGATGCTGTGAAGGGCTCTTGATTCTGAGAATTATAGCTACCTCCTGTTCCTTGGATCAAAATTAATTACCTTCCACCTCCTCCGTTTCCAAGGCACTGCATGACCCTAATGGATTTAGTGTTTAACAGTGAATATAATAAGAATTTCCATCATTTCTCTTGTTCTTTATTTTTCTGTGTCTTAAGATGGTGGTCTAGCACTTGATCATCTCTTATGTTACATATACTGGCAGTGAAAGTTGTAGCTTATCTCAGAACATTTCCTATTTTATTAATTTTTATTTTGATAAAATTTGTTGATAATTTAATTGGAACAGATTAGTCTTTGTGGCAATAGCAAGAATGGAGAGGCCTCAACTCGTACGAGAAATGATGATTATTGAACCAACCAAGACTGAATTTACTTCAAGACATAGCCTGGAGTGGGAAATTTTCCCTTTTTCCCCGACCACAGGTAAATTACTACTGGAGTATTGGGAAAAATTGCTACTTGATTTTCGAGAAGTAAATAAGAATCTTTCCTCCGTAAGCCATGCGTGTTGTAAAAGTCGACTAAAATGCCGGGAACAATGGGCTAGTAACCCCTTTTCCTGTAAAGATTACTAAAAAAAAATAAGAAGAAGAAAATTGTCAAAGTGGGGAAATCTGAATGTGCTGGATGTTGTGCAGATGATAAAAAGAGAGATTGGATGTTATGAATGAGAAGAAGCTGGATGCCTGGCTTTAAGTGAAACAAAGCTGAAGGGGGTGGGAGAGTTTTCAATGGAGAGGAATAAATGGGATTAGGTCAGGGGTTTCAATAGAGTTAGAGCTAAAGAAGGAGTAGCAATAATGTTGAAGGATAAGCTATGGCAGGAAAAGAGGGACTAAAATGTATTAATTCAAGGATTATGTGGAGTAAAATAAAGATTGGATGTGAAAAGTGGGTTTTAATAAGCGTGTATGCACCCGGAGAAGAGAGAAGTGTAGAGGAAGAGAGAGAGATTTTGGGAAATGTTGAGTGAATGCGTGGGGGTTTTTGACTCAAGTGTGAGAGTAATGGTGGTTGGGGATTTCAATGTAAAGTGGGGAAAAATGTTATGGAGGGAGTAGTAGGTAAATTTGGGGTGCCAGGGGTAAATGTAAATGGGGAGCCTTTAATTGAGCTATGTTGTAGAAAGAAATTTGGTAAAAAGTAATACATATTTTATGAAAAAGAGGATAAATAAATATACAAGGTATGATGTAGCACGTAATGAAAGTAGTTTATTAGATTATGTATTGGTGGGTAAAAGGTTGATGGGTAGGCTCCAGGATGTACATGTTTTTAGAGGGGCAACTGATATATCGGATCATTATTTAGTTGTAGCTACAGTTAGAGTAAGAGGTAGATGGGAAAAGAGGAAGGGCAACAACAAGTAAGAGGGAGGTGAAAGTGTATAAACTAGGGAGGAGGAAGTTCGGGCAGATATAAGCGACTATTAGCAGAAAGGTGGGATAGTGCAAAAATGAGTAATGGGGGGGTTGAAAGGGTTGGAATA